ACTTTGGATCATTTCACCGGAGTCTTAACTGCCTGTGGAAAAGTAGTGCCCCTCGGACCTAGTTTCAAAGAGTAGAATGTGGCCTGGGTGGGTGGCAGACTTAGGTATTAGTCATGTAGTTTGACACAGAAAGGGAACAGGAGGTGGGGATTGTTTGTGTCCAGGAATGGAAAGGTCTCCACCGACTGGACATGGGTAGGAAGGCATAAGAACAGAGAGGGAAAGTGGTGTACAAGAGTTGGGTTTCTACTACTGGTATCTTCTAAGATTCTGCTGGTGCTTGCTTGTGCATCATCCCATTTAATCCTCACACCAGCCCTATGAACTAAATCTTCAATTTACAGATGTGGAAAATAGACTAAGAAGTAAAGCAACTGCACAAGGTTAAGTCAGTAGGTGGCAGGGCCAGGTTTTGAACCCAAGTCTGATTGCGACACTTCTGCTTGCTCCATTACACAGGGGAACAGCACTCTACCAGCCCCCTGTGGCCAGAATAAAGTTACTGTAAGAGACCTGAGTTTGTAATTTTAACTTTTCTGCTACTTGTAATCTTCTTCTAACATGAAGATTATTTGAAAGTGTCCTTGTATGTCAATTTTACTAGAGGGAATTGAGGAAAGACATGTCATCAAACATGGGTTTCCAGCTCATCCTGGGGTCAAGATAACTATGGAGTGGGAAGGTAGAGTGAGAGGGAGAAAGCCAGAATCACAAGGGCCACGAGAAACCATGGGGGTGCAGGGTCACAGGGGGCACAGTCAGATGTCACTTAGGTGTCTGCCCCATCTGGAAATGTATTCAGTGCCTCCTTGTTCAAACCTTGTGGGACATGGGGCTGTTTTCCCAAAGGAAGCAGTTCCTTATCGGGGGCTGCAGAGGGAGTTGTCAGACCAGGGTTGTCAGTGCACTGTGGCTCCTTCCTGCACCTCTGGGCTTGGCTTCCATGACCCACCAAGACTCCACCTGTGCCTGCTGCTGGCCCTACCACTGACCAATTTGAGGTCCCCACCTTCTTTTTGGCAAGGCTTTAGTAACAGTTGCAAGGCAGTCTGTTCACCAGCACAGTCGATGAGAGACCATGTGGAGAAAGCCCAGTTGCAGCCCAGCCAACCAGCCAGCCAACTGCACATGTGTGAGTAAGCCCAGCTGGGCTCAGCCCGGGCCTGAAAAACCACCTAAGCTGAGCCAAATCACAGAACTGTGACCTAAATAAATGGTTTGGGGAGGTCTGTTCTGCCAAGAGCTCCCCACCGCCACCACATGAGAGTTCCAGTACACCACATTCAGACAGCTCTTTGGACATGCAGGTTGTTGTTGTTAGTAGCCATAAATTGCAACTCATGGCGACCCTGTGCGTACAGAGTAGAACAGCTCCATAGGATTTTCAAGACTGTGACCTTTTGGAAACAGATCACCAGGCCTGTCACCTGAGGAGCCTATGGGTGGGTTCGAACTGCCAGCCTTTTGGCTAATAGTTGAGCACTTAACCATCTGCATCACCCAGGGACTCCTAACTTGCAGGTAGAGAGAGACATTAATTCTTCCTTCTCCTGGTAGCTGAATTAAATGTGAGTTGGAAACAGACTCCATTTCCATTTCAATTCTTTCACTAGGCAGTTAGGCTGTATTTAAAAAAAATTTCTTATATGATCAACAGTAGACGTATCATTGAAGCAAGGTATTTTATGTGCCAACATTGTTGCCGAGGCACCACCAATAAGACACAGTACATCCAACATTTGACGCCATATATCATAGAGATCAGGAATAAGTCTGATCATTACTTTATAAAGAGCCGTTATACCAACCATAAAGAAATCTTTTATAATCAAATATAAGTTTAATAATCTCTTTATCACTTCTCCCAAACAATTTTTCATTACCTTCATTTCATTCTGTTTTGTCACATACATCTCTATAATATGCAGAGACAGCCACTCATATCCTATCATTTAATTATTTTTGGGTCAATACACAATTAGTAGAGATCACTGTGGAAAAGAATACTACCTTTTTCTGACAGTAGATTCTTATGTATTTATACAAACCAAAAACATCCAAACCCGTTGCCATCAGGTCAATTCCGACTCATAGCGACCCTAGAAGGACAGAGTAGAACTGCCCCGTAGGGTTTCCAAGATGCGGCTGGTAGATTCGAACTGCAGACATTTTGGTTAGCCACCAGGACTCCATGTATTTATATAGCACCTTTTATTTAAGGAGCTCAAAGTAGTTTCTTAGCATTCACTCTAGCATCCTTTTGATATCTCTGGGTAGGGGCACTGGTAAAAATTATCATTATTGTCTTTTTTAGAAAAAAAAAAAGCACAGGAAAATAAAGTGTCATCCTGTAGATAAACAGGATGATAAAGGTAAAGTATCATCATCAGTGAGATGATGACGGTGTCACAGTAGAAACTTGGGTTTTTAGCTCAGCATTCTACTTTTTGTACTACACTTTAATATATTCCACATTAAAAGATATAATGGTTTCTTCCATTGTTAACATCTCTCTCTGGATGGATGTTAACTAAAAGGGCATAAGAGACAGTAAATTTCCACCAACTGATCATCCTGGCAATGCAGTTATTTCCTGCAGTTTTTTTTATGTCAGCTAAGGAGTCCCCTAAATTATAGCGCCGACCTTTGCTTCTCCATTAAAAATCGTATCGACCATTATCATCTCAGCATTTTCAGAACTGCAAGCAGTAGGGAGAAACCAATGATCAACGATCATTCCTTTCAGCGGGGCATTTGTGGCCATGAAAATCCTGGACAGTGGCCATGAGCAGCACTCTTATAACCTACCAGATCCACAAAATTAATTTTAATTATTTTAGGTATTTTAACTTTTCTCCACAGAGTATTTGAGGACAAACATTCAATGGCCACAACAGGTCAAACAACCCTCATAGCTCCCTTCCGTCTGACTTATACTTTATGCTTCCTCATGAGAGGACTGAGGCCAAGAGAAAAGCACCCCTAGGGCTGTTTTCTCATATTTACAATATGAAGATTTGCTTTTTAATTTACATGCACTGGAAAACAGCAATGACGTTTTCCACTTCTGCAAGGCTGAATCACAGATGCACAGTTATTTAGGAAGAAAAAAGGGCCAATTGCCTGAATACAATTATGCCATTCTGATCTAGGAAGAGAAAATGTAAATAAATATTTAAACTTTATTCTTCCTTTCTTGAACTTCCCTGGCACCTCCTTTTCGTTTTGTGTGCAGGATACACCCGTGTCCTAATAATCCGCTGTACCTTTTCCAGAGAGACATCAAGAATAAGAACGCCAAGCTGCAGCAATGTGGAGTTTCAGAGATTTTGTTAACAAAGCACTCGATTGCCTCTGCCAGAGTGAATAAATAAATTTATCCCCATTCAAACTTTCTCTTGGGACAGTGTAGAGCAAGGACACACACTGCATCTTAGTTCTGCTTAAGGATCCACACAAACTTAAAACATTCAGGGACAAAAATGGGGTTTCCCTTTTTCCTTCTTTTAGAAAATTGAGAACACAGAAAAATTTTCAGAAAAGAAAAGCCCGTTCTTCCAGGTTTTCACATTTCTAGCCTTTTCTCAAAAGTGCTTAGTAAACACACACACTTTGGAAAGCCATCAGCAAAACACAGGCAACCAACTGTGAGAAGGGGTGCAAAGAAAGCAGTAAAGAAGGCTATCACCCTTAGAAGAACATTCATGAAAACCCTTTAACAGTCTAAAGAGTAAAAAAAAAAAAAAAAAAGGATCAAGAAAAATGTTCTGAAAGTGATACACAAATGTACAAAAACAATACAGATCCAAATAGAACAGGACAATAATAAAAACATGTCATTCTTTCTGGAGCCAGTAAGACTGGATGAACTCCCAAAACTATTATCCTGAGATAATCTTTAAACTTTAAACCTTAAATCAAAACTATCCCCTGAAGTCTTCTTTGAGCCAAAAAATAGTTTATCTTAAGTATGTCTGCCTTGAGCATTGTGCTCTTTTAAAGAATTATCTATGTGAGATCAAACTGACAACAGGAACTAGAAAGGTTGGATGAGAAGCTTAGGAGGCAGTGACTTTAAATCAATGGTGGTGGAACAATTTGGAGAAAGAGGCGAGAATGTTTGCACAACTTGAAGAATGTACTCAATGTCATTGGGTTGTATGTGCAGAAATTGTTGGTGTATGGCTGTGTATATTTTCACCAACCCTACCCCCCTCAAAATAAAAGACGTCCTAACGAGACAAATTACTGATGAATGACACTGAGGGGCAAGAGAGAAAAACCAGAAGAGAAAGTAAAATGTGGACGACCAAAGAGAGAAATATGTACCTGTGTCATTAGTGGATACCTGGCTATGAATATCAAACCCACTGCCATCCAGTCCATTCCAATTCCCAGCGATCCTATAGGGAAGAGTAGAACTGCCCCATAGGGTTTCCAAGGCTATAAATCTTTACGGAAGCAGACTGCCACATCTTTCTCCCGGTTATGGGTATCAGTGAGTGGGAATAATAAATTCACTTTAAAAAAAGTAATTTTTCTACGACGAGAAAGGTAGGTAAAGAATGTCATGTAATTTTGCATAAAGGTACCGGATAAACAGGGTATAAAGGCAGCAGATTTGGAACCAGCCAAATGGAAATCCTTGCAAGGTTTCAAGAGGAAGGAAAAGGCACCACCCTGGGAATTCTGACTCCACACCGTGATGTCCATGAGTCAGGCGGCCCAACGCAGGTTCGAGCCCACCCATCTCGACTGTCTGTCCTGTAAGCCGGGTGGCACCTAGGCTTGGGCCACGTGCTTATTTGTACTGGACTGGTGGAAGGCCGCCTGTGGGGCCCTGGATTCATGAAGGCCCACTTTATGCCCTGAGCCCCTGCAGGTGGGAAAGCTGGGCTCTGGGGTGATGTGGCCGTCCCAGGCCTCGGGTCCGCCGCGGGCTGCGGCAGGGTCCTGGCGCCAAAGCGGCCCATCAGCCCGGCCCCCAAGGGGCAGGCAGTTCAACGCCAGGCACGCGGCACTCCAGGCGTCGGCAGGCCCTGCTCCTGCACCGGCGGCGCGGTCTGGTCGGGCCCGCCCTGCGCCGCCTCCTCGTCCACGCTCTTGTCGACTAGGCGCGCGCCGCTGCCCGCGAAGGTGTCGCAGCGGCCGGCGCTCTCCTCCTGCACCGGGCGGCCTGCCGGCTCTCCCAGCTCCCCGCCGCCGCCTCCGCTGCCACCACCGCCACTACCCGCTGCGCCCTCTTGCGACGTCTGGCTGACGTAGACCACGATGATGTCGCCCTTGAAATTCATGACCTGCCCGCTGGAAATGAACGTGGAGTTACTGTTTCCAGTCACATTTCCTACAGGGGAGAGGGAGAGAGAACATGGAGAGGGTGATTCAGCGCTTCTCGTGAGAACCGGGTCTTGTGAGAGGAACGTTTCCTGCCGAGTAAGAGGCGATGGCGTCCTGGCCTCTTAACAGAGGGACAGAGAGAGAACTCACTATGCTCTGGTCAAACGAACCAGAAAGGGAAGCCAAGACCGCGGAGGGGCGGTTGTGGCATGATGGAGCTGGGCAGCTGGCCTCTGTGGAGCCTCCTCTCTGACTGGTCTCTTTCGCATTGGAGGCCTTTGTCACCCTGGGTGCCTGCACAAACCACCCATCTTCCAGAAAAGTTCCTAACAGAGCTCAGTCCTGGAGGTCCATGGGGCCAGATCCTAAAAAATGTAGCAAGTGGTTAAGCAGTAACCACCACCTGAAAGGTTGGTGGTTCCAGTCCACCCAGAGGCTCCTGGGAAGAAAGGCCTGGCGACCTACTTCTGAAAGACAACAGCCATTGAAAACCCTATGGAGTGCAGTTCTACTCTGAAACACATGGGGTCACCATGAGCCAGAACCGACCCAAGGGCAATTGGTACATTTCCTTAAAACATTATTTTTTTTTCACTCCTGGAAAAGAGATTCGAAACCTAACATGAGGGGGAATAAATCCTAAAACTCATCTTCTGATTCCTGAGGGGTGTTTTGTCCCTAGGGGTTCTATAATTTTGTTGTAAGTGAGTGAATTTAGCCAGTCTTTAATAGGTCTTTTAAAAACAAAAAGATCAACAAATGTTAGGAAACCTGCTACCTCTTAGTATTCTTCTACCTTGAAGACAATGCTCCAGAAATTTCTGGCTAAAATAAGCACCACAAACCAAGCAAATCCAGAACGCCCTGACATTCGGCATCACAAACAGAATCTTCTAGTCTGACCAGACGATGTGGCCATGTTTATTTCAAAATGGCTCCTTACTATTCACCTTCTGCATCTTTTTTCTTCTCTATGGCAGCCCAGTTTAATAATCATTCATACAAATAAAATTAAGTTTCTTTCACCACTCCACATAGAGATTTTCCCCAAATTTGGAAGACATGTTTTGGATGGTCTGACTAAAATGCCAATAGGCATACAGGAAATTTCCTTTGGGGAACCTCCCCCGACCCATAGGCTACTTCCAGAGAAGCCAAAACTGAGGAGCCTGTGAAAACACAGGGATTTCAAATGTGAGCAACAAATCAAAAGTCACAAGGGTAGATTTGTGACTCATGCTCTTCCTTCCATAGGTAGGTGTATAGGGTATTCTCCAAGATGGGAGTAATAATCCCCCAAGCAACATGGAGGAGGCCAGCTAGTATTTTCATTTACCAGCTAACCAAATTGACCCCTACTTCCCATTCCCTCTAAATTATACTGGCAGGTGCCCATAACATATGGCGTACTCTAAGCTAGGAGTCTATTCTCTAGTATGCCTAAACTTTCTGCTCTCACCAGTTACCATGCTAGTTCTCAAGTCTGTTTTTACCAGCTGAACTCATTAAAACCCATTGACATTGAGCTGATTCTGACTCATAGCAGCCCTACAGGACAGAGTAGAACTGCCCCATAAGGTTTCCAAGGAGGAGCTGTTGGATTCAAACTGCCAACCTTTTGGTTAGCAGCTGAACTCTTAACCACTGTGCCACCAGCGCTCTGTTGAACTTATTAGGAAATTTAATTAAATATATGTTATGTAAAGTGGTGAAATTTAAGTACGGGGGGAAAAAAAGGAAGTGTTTCTATGAAAACTCAAGTGAATGCTTTGCAAGGACCCAAATAAAAGTGGGTCACTAAAAACAAAACAAACCAAAAAACTGCTGAACTGATGTGGGCAAGGCAACTATTAAAAAAAAAGAAAAAGAAAGAAAGAAATATTCAGAGTCCAGAAGGATTCTGAACTCCAGGTTGTTTCTGCAAATGTGTGTATTCTAATTCCACACTAAAGAGAAACTGGAAATTCAGACAGTG